AATAAGTGTGGAAGAAGAGAAAAATTGTTAATTAACAGTTGATGGCAACAAGAAACCATAAAACAATCTCAAACGCAGATCCTGCCAGTAAGATAATTTATGTCAGAGCATGTGGACTTGTTTAAATGTAAAATGAAAAAATAAACAAGCGCTTGATCCCTCAGAAAGTAAAACGTTTAAAATACCAAATTTTGACATGCTGGTGAAACGTTGATCTATCTGACGCCAATGAAAATCACTACCGGGTGTTAGAACAAGGAGCAGTGGAGACAGAAAAGTCTACTTCTAATTCTGTTTGCAGCTACGAACTAGCCATGCTCAAACTAGAGTCTGCAAACCCTACGATTCGATTCCGGCTGCGGCTGCTCATGGAGTTCAATGTTCTACCAGTTGAACCGAGAGAGCGTGTTCTGGGACCTGTCATTTAGTTCTTTTCGCTATCCTCTGACAAACCACTGCGAGCCGTATAGTTGGAGACTCCGAGGCAAACTGGACGAGCATGTCTCGCAACCTGACTGTTGAAGATCCTTCCCACGACCGACAATGCGTTGGGCTTAATTTTTAATGACAAACAATGTCCGTATTCAAATCCCGGATTATTCAAACTCGGAGTAGGGCAGGGCTTGCTGTTGACGGCTACTGTGCCAGAAATACCCATGCCAATACCCCTGTTTTTGTTAGTGCTCCTGCATAATATCTAGTCCCCATACGATTGCTTTCCAGGGCTCTAGATTAAACCCCAAAGTGCCTCGCGTAACCTGGTTGTTGAACACCCTCCCTACGATGCAGCCCGGAAACAGTCAACAAGTATTTTTATATATTGCGAGTCGCCTGTTTCTCCAAAACAAAGAGAGCTGGCAAGAAAACTCCGTCCTTTAATTAAATGGCCTTTTAGAAGATAAAATTTCTTTCAAAGAAAAACTATTTCATTATGAGTTTTTTTTAAATGCTGGCATACGTACTGATCTGTCATTTCGTTCTAGGTCTACTTGATGTTCACTAGGAGGAATGTCGAATATTAATCTTCATCAAATTTGTTATGGGTTGTGAGAATCTATATTTTACATTTTTGCAATGACCTGATGCCCAACTTTTGGTGCCATGATAAAATTCCGCGCTTTGCGAACATACATCTTTAAAAATGTTCTTTTATCGTCATGAAATTTTACCGTGTTATATGTGCAAAAAACTGTCGCTCTAAATTAGTAAGGGCTGTACATACATGACCGTTTCGGGTTGGCTTTGTGTAAGTTTTATTGGGAATGAGAGACTTTTTTTACTCTCTAACGGTGGCTTTTGACGTACACGTCTGAATTGGTAAGGCGGACTAATTGGAGCACGTGAGTTTTAATCAATGCGCCATTGGACGTCTTCAGCATAGACTATCGTCACTAACAAATTTCACTAGTTGTGCAGATGTGACGGACATGGCTAACAGGTTCATTTTGCCGGTGGTTTACGAACTCTTTTATCGTCAATTCGTTATTATTTACTACAATCCCCAAACGAATTTTGAAGCGGGTACAAGCTTGGACAACGAGAACACCAGGTAAGCACATTTTCAACGACTTCGCCTTGGAATCACGCATTATGGAATTCCGTGGCTTTAGACAAAACCACAACTTGCATACTCAAGTAGTCAGTAATGTGTTGCGACCTTGCCTCGCAAAATGATTGTTTGCAAAAGCTCTACAAAACAGCCAGTCATGTCCATAAATGGTTGTCAATAAGCCGGCTAACTGGGGCGACCAAGTGTAGGTATTCATAATGACATCTTTCGCAATTAGATTTCGTAGTAAACTCTGACGACCTTTCTCTCCTTTTCCATTTATTTTTTCCGTTTTTGTCATGTCGTAAGTTAACTTGATTGCTTAATTCTCTTCGTGTAGTTATATCAGACTCCTACCAGACCACATCAAACAGCTTACATGACTCTTTAGTTAAAGTGCCGAGAGATATGGCCTAAAGGTACTCAAAATGTCGGTGCGACTACTTGGAGTTGACGGAGGGGTGTTTAAGTCTGAAGAATGAAGACATTATTCTATCCAAGTTAGCATTACACCATTCATAAAGTGTTTTAGTTAAATATCACGCGTCGTTGTGGACGCGAAGTTTCCCGCAAAAGCAAACTTATAGGTAAAGGTTTTTGGTGAAACTCGAGAGATTTTCTTTACTGCCCTTAAGTATGCGGTCGCTTACAAAATGACACCTAGGTCGAACCGTAGAACGGTTATACGCAGACCACTATCCTGATTCCATTAATAAAAAGATGCTGACTCTTCAAAAGCGTCCTATCCTTTAGTTCAGCATCAGGAGAATAACGGCCGGATGTGGTTATTTAGTCCCACCTGAAGTAGGCAAACCCCAGTCACCTATAATACGTGACCGGTGGTAATAGGGCTTTTTACAGGTGGGGCCGGGAACTCACAGGCGATGAGATCAAATAATTGTGTGCAAAAAAATTATTGGGAGTGCGTGGTTGTACTTTCAATAATTGAGAAATAGTTGCGCTAACTCCTTAAGCTAACCCCTAACCCCAACTCCAACAGTAATGTGTCCATCAGGTGGGGCTACCAAACCACATCTTACCAAAATACACACGTAATAAATACAAACTTTCCAAGCTTTGTCAAAAAAGAATGAGACTGGAATAGCTACTTCTGAACCCGTTGATGTCGCTGACCAACCATCCCCCAAGTCTAGGCGCAAAAGAAATTAGAGCTGAACCCTGATATGGTCGGGGACTGGGATTAGCACAAATCCTCTAAGCCAGGCGTCCAGATCTCAGACCCCGAGCGCAGGATGCCCACACCCGGCTCGCCTGTCTCACTGACCAAATTTTGCTATATCTGACCTTTTGTCAAAAAGCATTCAATCTCAGGCAGGAATGGCCTGAAATTAATGCAGGGATGAATCAACTGGAGCGCGCTATGGTACGAATTTGTGCTCCGCTGGCCGTGACTTTGGCTTCGCAGACATGACCGGATTATTGGACAGAACACACTCCTTTCGCCATCTCCCAAAGCTCAAGCTTGGGCTCCCCAGGTGTTTACAGAGCAACCGAAAAAGTTGCAGTTGAAACAGCAAAGGTTCGCTTTCATAACGCAAGCGAAACAGCGGGAGCACAAACCAATGAACTCCGCGTCCAGATCTGTCGCCTGTTGTTGAGACAAACGCATTACAAGTTAAGACCACCGCAATGGTGCCAGGCAAACTCTCGAAATCCGCAGAGTGAAGACGCAGCGGTAGGATTTATGTCCAATAAAGACAACTGTCTATCTCTACAGTTAGTGATGGATCTCATAAAATGTCAGCCGAAATTCTGAATTGCATGTTCAACGAGAAAGGGTTACGTTACTGAGGTTGTAATAATGGTTAGCTTGTGACATAATCCCGAGATATTTCAGACAACCCAGAGTGCTGACTTTTAAGCGCGCTTCTTTTCGGCACCTCAAAAAAACATACTCAGTAAAGAACTGACTACTTAAATGGTATGCATTTTGTGCATTGATTTTGGAGACACTAAAATGTGAAATATGGCAAATGTATTGTTGTTTGTGTTCATTTGGGAGTAGACCACGTCTCCTTATATCTAATACTCGAAGAAGGGATGTCTTTCAGTCTTGAAAAAATTTAATTATGTGGTTTTTACGACCATGGGACGTCTGTTCGAATAGTATCATATCTGTCTGTTTAATAATCCCTCCACTAAGTATACAGCACAATCCACATTCGTTGCAACATTGTATGGGTCCCATACGATATTTTATTTGTGGCATAAAGGAGTGTGCGTTTTTTCCTCATACGAAAGGCATGCAGCCTGTGGACTAAAGCCCTAAACAAAAATTGAACGGCGAATCGAGTTCAAAACTAGTCGGGAATTAAAAACATTCCGAAACCAAAAGATATTCCTTCTTTGAGAAAATAAAATTTGAAGAAGACATGATTTTCTAGCAATTGATTACAAGAAATAATACTTTCACGTATGCTTCCTACAAAGAATTTTTGAATTGATGGGGTCTTCGAAAATCCACAGAGAAAGTGCATGCTGTTTACGTGGTCATTTCCCACTGAGTGCGGTTCTCTCAGGTGGCCGGAAAGAGGTGCATTCAAAAGCCGAAACCCCGACGTATCCGAAATATCAGGCGATTACTTTACGAATTATTCAGTCAACCTTACCTAAGTAATCCTTCCTAATCGAAATCGGAGTTCAAAATTTCGGTTAACATTTCTTGAAATCGGTCACTGAATATATTTATAAAGTTACTAGCTATAGATTGTGATAGACAGTCACAGCTGGATGTTACATGGAGAAACTTAGTGGATCGAACGTTTCAGTTCGTTCTTCAGTTAATACACAATTTCCTGCCTCGACTTGAGTTTCCAACGACTACTTTGCATAAAACTCAGGTAATGTTTTTATCACTGAAGTTATTGTACTCAGCCTATGCGACTTATTAATGCGTGAGTAGAATGACATGTAATTGCAAAAGCTGACAATCGAGTGGCTGTCATTCAGCAATGCGACTTTATCAATTATTCGTGTGGATTAAGCCTTCCAAAGTTATCGGCCCAGCAAACAGTTCACTTTGACAAGTGGTGACTACACAGGACTTCGGAAGGTTTGGCTTTGAAAATACCAAGATCAGCTTTAAGAGATTTAGCGGACCAAATAAATCTGCCCATTTTTGAATGTCTTATGAGGTTAAGTTTATTTCATTTAGTCGCTGGTTGTTAGCCTATTAACTATAACCCCATCCTAGTCAACCATGATAGATTTTTGGTTCACTGTGATGAAAGCGTTTTTGTTACCCTGTAATTCAAACGTTTAGAGATTTACTCGTACAATTTGCGTAGTTGTTTCAGTCATGTAGGAGCCGTATGTGTTTTGGGTTTATCCGCTGAACCAGGACTTATTACTGTTTGTTAATGTGCAGCACTTTAAGCAGGACTCAGACAGGTTTCACATCACCCCCCCCCTCCCCTTTTTAGACGATTTCATGGTGGAGGCTTCAAATGAACGTAAAGCAGTCCAATCAGCCGCCTCGACAGACCAAGCCCTTTTGCAATCAGTTACTCAGGCCTACGGTTGTTTAAAGAGGAGTTCCACAAAGTCACTGCCCCTTATCTCCTACACAAGTCAAACCGACAGGCCGGAACCTGCGCATTCATCTCTCCCAAGACGTGTTTACATCTCATCTCATCGTTTCCCAGGTCCAAAATCTGTTTTCATAACTCCACTTAATACATTCCTTGAGCCCCCGGGCGTCAGCAAGAACAAGGATTACTGTTTCTACGGCGGCCAGCTTATAGGCCCTCATAGTTCCGAGAACTATATCTCTGCTCATATCAGCGTCAGTACTCAGTATTCTCGCCCCCACGAATACGAGGACATTTTGCAAACATCGGCCTTGCAAACTTCCCCTTTCCTTTACCAACGAACTCATCAGGCACAAAGTCCAGTTCCCACAAAGACAGAACCAGAAAGAGACATCCAGTCAAACGTAGGGGATAGTTCTCAGAAGGTGCAACCCGAAGCTAAAGCGGAGCAACAGGAGGAGGAGGAGGAAAGCAAGATAGGTGACTTGGACGTCAGCGAATCCAGCGGTTTAACAAGTGTGCTTCCCCGCTCCTTACCGTCGTCGGCCAGAACCCTCTCCATTGCCTGCAGCCAAAAGGAGGTTGAGTCTATTCAGATGAAGCGAATCGACTCTCATAGAGGGAGTGTGGAAGTTGGCACTAACAGTGGTCGTAGAGAGAGTAGACGGGACAGTGAAAAGACACTGGTTGCTGATGGAGAAGGGCGTGTTCACAACAGCCCAACGATGTACCAAACCACAAAGTTTCCGGCCCAGTACGCAATCGACTATCTTCAAGAAAGTCCATCAGCTCGGGATGGGGGAATTCGAGAGTTGAAGGATGGTCGGCCCAACAATGGGCAGGCTCCAGTTAAGGCTGAAAAGGAGGGACCCCCAAGCCGATGGCGTAAGGATGCCGCGGAGACTATCAGCAAGAGGGCTATTTCAGTTGATGAGCTGCGTCGACGTTTCGAGGAATCCTGCACGGTAATTCTTCCGAAGGGCAGCAAACTGTCAACCCTAAAGCAGGCGTCCACATTGCCATTAGCCAGAAAGCTACCTAGTCGCTTTTCGCCGGCCTCACAGGAGGATCGCGCCAGGTCCTCCACCTTCCAGCTGAAACGTAGCCAGTCAGCGAGTGCCTTACTAAACGGTGGATGTGGGGCTGGAAGGCGTAATTGCAACGATGAGCAAGAGGACGACCAATACAGGCCGCGGACCACGGCCAGAGCTGATACAGTCAGACCATTTGAAAGTGGACACCTACGCTCGCCCCAGTTTTCTCGACGCGTTGCAGGCACCCAGACGGAGGGTAACCCACAGCCTGGTAACATACGTCCGAGCCGTCTTTGTAGACGTTCTGATGACGACTGGGAGGGGGAGAGGGTCGGTAGGCGGTGTAATCCGTCTCCCACCAAGCGAAGACTGCCTGGCGAAAACGGTCGATATCTAAGTCCTCGCAGCATTAACCGAGCTGCGAACGACACCTTTTGGCCTGATGGAGTCTACATCAAGGCAGGCGATGTATACAAACGTGTGGAAACTAACACGTTTGCAAACGGCACCTCTGTGCGTTATTTTCTGCCGCGATCGGGACCCGAACCGGTTACTGAGGCCCTTACTGATTTGGATTGCGAACCACGAACAAATTTCAGGACGGCTGTTAGACGACGTGAGTTCAGTCGAGACAACCTAGAAGCTGAGGCCAGACCCTATCGTACCGCGGCTCTATCCCGATCGAGCAGTTCTCTCAGCCTGCCGCGAAGTCCGAGTGGGCATAGGCAGGAACAGGTGAAAGTGGATTTGGGGGGCTTTCCCAAAGCTGATCCACAAAGCTTTCAAAAACGGCAAAATTTGACTGTTGACTGTTCTGACCATTACGACAGTCGAAGACGAGTTGGGCAGATATCACCCTCTCTACAGAGACAAAATGTCTCTCACAGAGGCAGTTTACCCTGTGTCTCCGGCTCCAGAGGGACTGCGCGGTACTGGAGAGGACGTCCCAGTCCTACATTAAACTATTCTTACCTGGAACATATGGAGCCCTCCACAATGCCATATCGATCCAATACTCTATCCAGTTGGAGTGATTTACGCACAGCCAGGGACTCCCACTTTTACTCCAGTTTACCCATGAGAAAGTCCACCTCACAGCAGCACCTCTCACCTCGCTTTAGCCGGTCCGTCGCCGGCAAACACCGTTTTCCAAGAGCTGGAGACACGGACTGGAAAACAAGAGCCAGTGAGATTCGCGCCGATCGCCAGATGATTCACGAGTTGCGCGGCAGTTGGTCTCCGTCCCCCAGTCCTCCGCGTTACTTACCCAACGATTTGGAGGAACAAACAGAACTGGAAATTCGCGACCAGGTGATGCACGGCGCCCCTGTGCATGCTCTCAAGTGGAAACAACCGTGGGTTAGCGTGAGCAATGCCAAGATTTCAGCAAACCTTCCATCACGTGCTCTGTCACCGCCGCCGCCGTTGCGCGCACAAGCATCCTTCAGTCCCCGACACCGCGACCAGTTTAGGCGAGGTGTGCCTACTGGATGTGTGGACCAGGCTTCCATTTCGCAGGAATTTGGTTCAAACATTGCCTTTTTTGAACAAATGGCTAGGGAGAATATGAACGAGCCGCACTGTTCTTTCGGTCCAGACTGTTACCACTGCTCATTTCGCGACCGACTGGGGGCTCTCAGATCGGCCTCCCCGTCTCCTAGCAGGACCCGCGCACGTCCTTACTTTGGCAGCCTAAGAAGACAGAACCTGAGCTACCTTCAACCCCGCCGTGAGTTTAGGGATAGAGCAAGGCCCCGAGTTGAGGTTATCAACTCACCCGGAAAACTGTATTCCCAGGTGGAATGCGTCAGCCCAAAGCCCAGGACAGTGAACAGTTTTTCACAGACCAACCCTGTCAGGCGTTCTGCACGTCGTTTAGGTGACGTCTACGACACCTCGTAGTGCCGAGCATGTGTGAGAAAGATGCTATTTATGAAACTAATTATTGTAACCATCTGCAAAGGGAAGCCGCCATGGTGCATGAACGGCCATGAGCCCCTTTTTACTGTTGGAGTTTGCTTATTTAAACAGACTCGGATTACATACATATTTTTTTCAAATTTTATTGTGCTATTTCATTTCCAATAGGATTTTCAGAATTCAGAGTTGTTGTTTCCTCCTGCAACCGCTGCCTTTCCAATACACATGTTGAGGAATACTGATCGACGGAACCAACTGTTTACTCACATAACCATACAACCAGTCACTGCTGTCCTTATCCCATTTCAAACTCACGGTGCTTCAATTAATCGCCGAAACTCACAATTATGATAACATGCACATTAACATTTTCATTTGCATACGGATAGGGAATCAAGTTTTAAACCGTACTTTTGCCCACTCTATTTGTGTCAACTTGATCGTGATATATTAAAATCGATAGGAAGTTCTTCTTCAAATCAGACAGAAGTGCGTGTCTTTGCCATCGAAGTTGCCGATTACTGAACACACAGAAATTTGCCAGTAGCCACAATTTTTCCGTTTCATGATAACTTTAAAATCAAAAACTCAGCGAAGCAGCGACAGTATTTAACATGGTTCGTCACCTTCTAATCCAACACTGGCACCGGGCTTATAAAATGCTTACTATAGGACTCTCAAATGCACGTCTCATTTTCTATCTATAATAAAATTATCTCGACTCTGAAATTCATAATTGGGTTTAGAAATTGGGAAATCTCCAGTCACTTGAGAATAACACTCACCGTCTGACCAGATTGATGGACTAATTGAAGACTGTCCGGATGCTTTCTGAGTTTCGTTCTCAAGCGGATGGTTGTAATTCATCGGTCTTCGCTATCGCACCCGGTGTGATGCGCAAACTCATTTTAAAGCTGAACGAGAACTAACGGTCACGGAGTTCATATTTCGGGCGACGGGCATGAGGTCTAGGTAAAACTGGCTGGTAACGGCCAAAAGGTTGCACCCAACCCCTCATTTGTGTATTAATCATCTTTAGGTGTTCTGAGCCCCCCTCTCGTGCCCTCTTTCCCCGGAATCTGACGAGGTACCAGCACGAACATTGTTTTGTTGACGCAATTGAGGGCCTACAGATGCTACCAGCTATGGCAACTTCCCGTCTAGCCAATACTCTTGCATATCTTACATGTCTTTCTTGATTGCCGTACACTGTAACCTAGTTTGGTGATTGCCGATAGATAGTTCAACTGTAACCGGTTCTTCCAGAGCTCAATAACAGGGATCCGAGGTTGGCGGCGTCTCTGAACAATATGACTGATTATTATCAATGCAACTCCCACCGCTCTATCAGTATTGACGTGCCCTGTCTACAACTGAGAGACTTCTTTACTTACAAACTGGACATTCCGCCTAAAATTGTTCCGCAGAAAGCCCATACCCACAAAATATTACGCCTCACTGAGGGCTGCCTGATTCGGGGTAAAGTAGGAAAAACGGACATGGTCCTGATAAAGGCGAACAGGCGAGTCCCAGGAAACGGTTCAGAAGAAGAAGATGGGATCACTGGAACAAGAAATTCATTGGCCTGACGTTTCGGATTCTCACTCGAATCCATCTTCAGAGACAGTCGCAGATAAGGGTAATGGTGGCACAAGGAGTGCAACACGTGACTGCCGTGGGACCATATGTGTCCTGTAATTAACAGCTTTTGCAATCATCACTGGGGTCGTAATTGATGCGATGATGGCTTGTCAGTCCGCGTTCGAGTCGTTAATCGCCGCGATTTCGTCATCCGTGTTGGATGCTGGTGTGACGATTGCTCGGTAAACTGGCTCATTGTCACTGGGCTTAATTCGGGATAAGGTATGAACGACGGACTGGGTCCTCTCAACCTACTCCTCCCTGTGGTAACTTCTGCTACGCCGACTTGACTTTCTGCATAAGTTGCTTTGCAATTGGTCTCGTTGAAGATCTTGGTGCGGTTCAGTCCTGTAGCCCCACCTGACGGAGGTCCTATAGTCAGCCTACTGAGTCATTCTTGAGTAGGCGTGACTACGTTAAAATTGCGCATTTCACGGAAGGACTTGTGTCGCAAAGTCTGATCCTTTGCCCTCAGTCGTGGCAATCAGTGTTAAAACGGGTGGATGAAGCCCTATTGCCTTCACTTCTTGATCCAGTGAAGCATTTTTTCCCACTAACGTAGGCCATCGACTGGGTTTTATAGTTTCACTCAGTGTAGAGCAAAGAAAAATACCCGCTCGGATAAATGCAACACGGGAGACCTGTTTTAACTGCAGTCGTCAGTGATCCGTCTTACGAGACTACATCCGTTGCTCGTCAGGTGCGAGGCTGAACTCCACTTCTCCCAACCCACTAGTCCAAGAAAATCAAGCCGGGGCTCTCGTCGGCTTTCATCCACGCATAAGGTATTACGGCGGTCACGATAGTCACGCTTTAAAATCTGTCACTTAAATTGTCACAATCTGGCTAGTATTTCATCGGGTCCAGGATTCAGTCCATAATTTGGCCCTTCATCGCCTTATCAGTGACGAAATTATCAGGTGTGTAAATTATACTTTTTATATCACCACAACTTCCCCAACCAATCAATTTCTGCTAACAACACTAACTCCCTAAGTGCTATTGTCGTAGTTTACCGCAGAAATAGAGCGACAGTCTTGTAGTTCAAGCTTCGACCTTATAGATCTCCCATCAGCGTAACGAGGTCGACTGTAGTTTCAAGATCTAATTTAAGAACCCAGCGCTGGGGTGGACGCAAATTAGTGGGTTGGTGATTTCTCCGCATTAGAGGTTATGCATGATTGTTACTGATTGCAGCTGTTAGTCATGGCTGACGTTTCTGTTATGACACGGCCTGGTACTTGAAAGCACGTGGGAGCGTATGCGTATCCAACTCTTGTCTCCAATACTAACGCGGCAGAGAAGGAGAAGCGACCGGCCACGAAAATGTGTATTAGGAAATTGTAAGTCAAGATTAACAGGAAGTAACGCATATTCATAACGCCATACTGTGGTTCGCCGGCATTTGGCCCAATGCCCTTCGGGAAGAGCATTCCGGACGAGCTGGTCGATAATTCGAATACGCGGATCGATCAGTCCCGAGGGGAAAAGCCAATAGAGAGGCGCCACGATTAAGATGACAGCGCTCTAGGGAAAACGCACGTGGCCTCCAGTGATTGGCTACTCTTGTTGTTGGGAGTGTAGGCACCCCAACAGTTTCAAACTCATGTTACAGTTTCCGTACACTTTTGGCCAGACACATGACCTCAAGCAACCGCACTCTGCTTCAGGTTATTGCACTTCAGCCCCTTTTTACCCATTCAGTGGTTTTTTGGGCATGGAAGCGTCCCCTTTGGCTTTATTAACTATCAATAATTCCAGTCACAGTGTGCAGACCGCAGTTGTCCGATGCCCACAACCACTTTGAGGCCGTGGCCCTCCAGGCAAATTTCGCTTGGAGAGGCTTAGTGGGGTACTGGTTTCCTCCGGCTCAGGTAATCGAAGTTAATCATTTCTATCTCCCCTTTGGCATACCAGTCTGAGACCGTACCTGGCAGCGAGGAACGTCTTGCTGGAGGGTGGTCAACGTGGACACCGTGGGCACAGGTCTGTGTCCATCCACGCCCAAATGTACTACCGCTGTGTGGTTCGTAATGGTCTGTTTCTCCGACCTGAGAACCTGCTTGTTTCGCAGCTAATCTTCGCTTAGGGCGGTTTCAGTATCCGCCACGTATGGACGCACCGGACAGACTCAACTAAACTGACAGGCGAGCCCACTTCTCCTGTAGTTCCTGTCTCGCAATCGCAGAAGGCAGATGGTAACACATGACCACCAGGAATGCCCAAACTGCCACCTGGCAGGGGGTGCGTATTTGGTTGGCCTTAGAGACTTTTCGCCAAATATACTTCGATAATTCATTGCATGTCTTCATTTTCAGTGATAAATCATCCTAAATCCCAAAATATACTTATCAGACCCTTTCACGAATGCTTGTTTTAGACGCAGACGGGATATCTAGCCCTCTCAGTTACTGCGATTAGATCTATCATCAGCTGGATTCCAGGATCGAATAGTCGACAGGTATATGGTGAAGGGAGGAGGAGGTGGGGTCAAAACTGGGAAATCCATCCCCACGATACATCAGCTTATTCCTTATTTTAATAAATCTGACTCGCTTAAAGTCGTGCCATGGAAGGGTATTAAATGATAGGATAACTCTGTTTTCTCAGTCCTTCCTTAGTGCGCATGTGTGTGTGTCGGCTCAGCAGTCACCCAGAGCAAGGACTACTCCCCAAGAGGCAAAGGAGCTTTCGGCGTCAGCGTGAAACCGCAGACATGATCTTCGCCGTTCGTCGGTTACGGGAGAAGCGTCGGGAGATGCGAACCTACGTCTAAACTATCCTCGCGAACCTGACGAAATCATTCGACACGGCGAATCGCAATACACCGTGGAGAGTCATTTTGAAATTCGGCCGTACCGCAACATCCGGGCAATCCACTAGGCTTACCTGACTTTACACGTGATGATGGGTTCGAGTGGGAATCCGAGGGCAGTGCACCTCGCCTCAGCGCCGATGGCAGCGCCCTCCTGACCGGGAAGACGCAAATTCTACAGCGATGGGCCGAGCACTTCCGAGGCCTCCTCAACCGTCCCTCCATCATCTCCGACGCCGTCATCGCTCGATTGTCGCAAGTGGAGACCAACGTGGACCTCGATCTCCCGCCATCTCTCCAGGAAACGATCAGGGCCGTGCAGCAGCTCTCCAGCGGGAATGCACCCGGATCGGACGCAATCCCTGCTGAGGTCTCGAGCACGGATGTCTCCAACTAATGGATCACCTGACTGCGCTCTTCCAGGAGATGTGGCGTCAAGATGAAGTCCCGCAAGATTTCAAGGACGCAACCATCGTGCATCTATAAAAGCGAAAAGGAAACCGCCAACTACGCAGCAATCACCGCGGCATCTCCTTGCTGAACAACGCCGGGAAGATCTTCGCTCGCATCCTCCTCAACCGTCTGAATAATCATCTAGAGGAGAGCCTTCTACCGGAAAGAAAACGCAGCTTCCGCCGTAATCGCGGGACCACGGATATGATCTTCGCTGCTCGTCAATTTCAGGAGAAGTCCCAGGAGATGCGGACCCACCTGTAGTCTACCTTCGTGGACCTGACGAAAGCCTTCGATACGGTGAATCGTGAAGGACTGTAGAAGATCATGAAGAAATTCGACTGTCCCGAGCGAATCATTCAGATAGTGCGTCAGCTCCACGACGGTACGATGGCGCGAGTCACGGACAACGAAACTGTCTCAGAGGCATTCGCAGTGACCAACGGAGTGAAGCAGGGATGCGTGCTGGCGCCTACCCTTTTCAGCATTATGTCCTCTGTCATGCTAATGGACGTCTACCGTGATGAACGCTCCGGGATCCGCATCGCCTACAGGACGGACGGTCACCTTCTGAATCAACGGTGGATGCACTTCCAATGGCGTGTATCCACAACCACCGTTCACGAACTTCTCTTCGCCGACGACTGCGTCCTCAACACCACCTCGGAGGAGGAGATGCAACGGAGCATGGACCTCTTATCTGCCGCCTGCGAGAACTTCGGACTGGTCATCAACACGCAGAAGACGGTGGTCATGCATCAACCGCCACCCAACACAGCCACTCCTCGCAACGCGCCTCAAATCAGTGTGAACGAAACCCAACTGCAAGTGATGGAAAACTTCCCGTACGTGGGCAGTACCCTCTTCCGTAGCACTAACGTCAATGACGAAGTCGCTAGCAGGATCTCGAATGTCAGTCACGCCTTCGGTCGCCTCCAAAGCTCAGTTTGGAATCGTCACGGTCTCCAACTGAGAACGAAGCTGAAGATGTACAAGACTGTCATCCTGCCGACGCTACTGTGCGGAGCGCAGACCTGGAATGTGTACACAAAGCAGGCACGCCGACTGAACCACTTCCACCTTAGTTGTCTCCGTCGCATCCTGAGGCTAAGCTGGCAGGATCGCATCCCCGACACTGATGTGCTGGAACGAACGGGAATCCTCAGCATCTGCACCATGCTGAGACAAATGCAACTGCGCTGGAGCGGCCACCTGGTACGCATGGACGACGAGCGACTACCCAAACGACTCTTCTACGGGGACGTCGCGACGGGTTCTCGTCGTCAAGGAGGCCAAATTCGCCGTTACAAGGATACCCTGAAGTCCTCCTGAAGCGATTGCAAATCAACCCGACCAACTGGGAAGAGCTCGTCCGCGATCGTCCGACATAGAGGAGAACAGTGAAGACGGGCGCTCCTATCTATGAAGCCACCCGCATCGCTACCGCCAAAGCGAAAAGTGAAGCCCACAAATCACTACTTCGCTCAGTACGCAACGCCGCCTCACAACCGCATCCAACGTGTCCTCGGTGTCAACGGACATTCCGGGCTCGAATCGGACTTGTTGGACACCTTCGGATTAACTGTGCCTCTCGAACGGCACCAACCCCCCGCCGGCCTCTTACTCCTCCTCTCCGCCGCCAACTAATTCTGACAATTCTTCTGACCCACCACTTTCATTCTCCTCCCCCTCTTTCTCCTCCTCCTCTTTCTCCTCCTCCTCCTCCTCCTCCTCCTCCTCCACCTCCTCATCCTCCTCCTTCTCCTCCTTCTCCTCCTCCCCCCCTCCTCCCCCTCCTCCTCCTCCGCCACTGTCCCAACGGCGGCCGCTCAGGCGGCCGTCTCACACATCATCAACCGCGACACAAAAACAGACACCACCCCCACCTCTCCCGACTCCAGCGATGAGGATCAGGACAACACCTGCCCTCATTGCGACCGCACCTTCACCTCGCACATCGGCCTGGTTGGTCACTTGCGAATCCATCGCACAGAGACTGGCGGGCCAGTGCCTGGAGCACCAACCTACACCCACTGCACTCGCCTCCACTGTCAACACTGCCCTCGCACCTTCATGCACCGCATGGGTCTGTTCGGTCACATGCGCATTCACGAGAGCGGAATTGACCACAATTCTGACACACCCACCACACCCAACACACCCACCAGGCCCAGCACCACCCTCGCTCCATCGCCACACGCGCCCATCACCACCACCACCACCCCCACAACCGCTTCCTCTACAGCTGACACCGACAACGTCGACCTCCCATGCCCACACTGCGGCCGCACCTTCACCTCACGCATCGGCCTGGTCGGTTACTTGCGAATCCATCGCACAGAGACTGGCGAAACAGTGCCTGGAGCACCAATCTATACCCACCAACCTTGACTCAACTGTTCAAACTGTCCTTGCACTTTCAGGCACCGCCTGGGTCTATTCGGTTACATGCACATCCACGAGAGCGGAATTGACCACAATTCCGACACACCCACCACATCCAACACATCCACCATGCCCAGCAGCACCCCTGCTCCATCGCCATACGCGCCCATCACCACTGCCTCCTCTACAGATGACACCGACACCACCGACCTCTCATGCCCACACTGCCCACGCACGTTCGCCTCACACATCGGCCTGGTCGGTCACTTGCGAATCCATCGCACAGAGACTGGCAAACCAGGGCCTGGAGCACCAAACTACACCCACCACGCTCGCCTCCACTACCCATATTGTCTTCGTACTTTCACGCATCGCATGGGCCTATTCGGCAACATGCGCATTCACGATGACCTGCGGTAAACAACCGCCGGTTACACCACACCACAACACCCTCCTGCCCTGCCTCCTCCTCCTCCTCCTCCTCCTCCTCCTCCATCACCACTACTTCACCACACATCAACACTCACCCACCGCAGTCACCCATCTGACACCTCCCACTCAAGTGGGAAGTCCGCATCTCGACTCGGTCCCCATGCGACTTCGGCCGCACGCGTGACCTGAGTCCGACACGTCAAGCGTTGTGAGTAGGAAGGTTGCTGATTGACGCCCCTACTCGTTCCACACAGTTCGTCCCGTTGTGTGTGTGTTGTGTGGAGTGGCGGACTTGTGGGCTGGGGACGGGCTGAAGCAGCACTTTTCACGGTCCTCTCACGCAAGTGAGAGATACGCCGTTCAACCCCCGTTGTGTGAAATCCTGATGTTTGCGTGTATGGAGGGCCAGGCCGTGCTCGTGGCGCGCGCAGTCGTGGTCAGCCGACCATGACAGCCACCGCGCCCATTCCCCCACTCCAGTCTGCTGACCAGCTCGGACAGCGGATGGGGTGTGGGGATGGGAAGGGAGAGTGAGGTCGAAGACTCAGCGCATTTTCCTCACTATAAACAATCTGACGCGCTTGAAGCTATCACGGTGGGCTAAAAGCCGTGGCTTGGAAGGTTGCCAACTGACGGGGTACCTTGGACCTCCTCCTTGACTGGTGGTGGCCTGAGAGTCAGGCTGCAATGACTACTTCTTAATGTGGCATTTATGACAATCCCACCACAATGTGGGATCCGCGCCAGGCGTTGGCGGCACGCCTAGGTGCGGTTTCGGTCGTGCCAGTCTCCAATCTCTGTTGTGTTGATTGAAATCTTGGTTATTGTGGTGTGGGCCAGGGGGCGTGGTGGAACGCCAAGGTGAGGATCCGTCCATACCATCCACCTGCGGCCTCCCTCGTCTCCGGTCTTGACACCGGGCTCAGGCGGGGGAGGAGGAGAGAGTGTATGTATATGCAGCGCAAGTCCACTGGCACTATAAATCCCTGCGCAAGTCACCGTCCCTGCTCCCACCGTTGCAGCTGCAGCTGCGGGGCACACGGTGAACATCGTCGAAATCGACTATCGAACTGTCGTGTGCTATGCCAGTATCGGCAAATCAATGCCCTCGCAGCCTGGTATGCGCTGGCAGTTCCCTGATACCTGATTCCCTGCCGGTAGATGTACTTGCGCTCCCGATCGGTATACATGTGGTGAACATGGCTGACCAGTCATCTTCATCCTTCTGACCCCTGTTGGAATGTTATTGTTAGTGTATGTCAAGTGTATATTCAAGGAGGTGTGGCGGACGCCTAGGTGCTGGTCCGGCCGTGCCAGCCACCTGCGCCCTCCTCCGAATTCGGTATGCTTGACTCTGTCTTGACACCGGGTCCAGTTGGGGTGTGGGGAAGACAGAGTGTGGCAAGTCTACTATCATTACTATTCAGGCGCAAGTCACCGTGCCTGCTGCACCTAGCCGTGTAACACGCGGCGGACATCGTCGGAATCGACGGTCGAGCTGTCGTGCATATGCCCCCAAAACGGGCCCCGAGATATATGCTTTGGACCAGTATGGAGGCCACGTTAGATTCTGGTGGGTATTATCGATAATGCATCCGCATAGCAAATGCCAAAGTTTAGGGTGCTGTGACAGGCCCATTTGCCGGCTCACGTCGCGCCAATTGGGACTCCTGCTGTCCTTCATTTGTTATTGGTTAAAATCCTGGTCGAATGTTTGTCATGGATCAGGGGTGTGGTGGCATGCCTAGGTGCGGATCCGGCCGTTGCCGTTGCCTGCGCTCTCCATCACCTCTGGTCTTCTTGACAGTGACTTGACAAGGAGCCCAGATGGGGAGGAGAGAATGCGGTAGATGCTGCGCAAGTCTACTTTCACTGTAATCTACTCACAATGCAAGTCACCGTGACTGATCCATCACGCTGAGGAGCACACGGTGGACATCGTCGGGCACTACGGTCGAACTGTCGTATCATGTTCGCGTGGGGTAACTGACTTGCGGACTCAGGGCCAGGATCAGTGGCCCCTTCTTTATGCCGTCTTTATATCATTGGCAATTCCGTAATTGGGGTTAGGTCGTGCGTGGCACGCGCAGACGGAAATTTTAACTCTGTCATCCACTTCATTCATACCCACTTCCGGTCGTCCTGACACTGTCTTGTCTGCGGAACCAGTTCGTTGAGGGCTGAGACAGAACGGTAGATTTTGAAGAAGGAGACGCGATTGCTGGAACAAGAGCCTGACGTTTCGGATTCCTGCTCGAAACCATCATCAGAGACAAAAGCAGATACGGGTGGTTCATGCACAAGGGGCTTCAGTATTTGTAGGATGCAGCCCCCATGCTACCGCATAATTATGAATATTCACGACTCCCCCATTCATCAGAGATCGTTGCACTTGGTGTGCTGATTATTTGATGGCCGACAGTCGCGTCGTTAACTGCTGCAATTTCACCACGTGCGTTGGATGTTGGTGTGATGACTGCTCGACCACCTGACGCGCTGACCGGGGTATTGGGAAAAGTGTACACCTGTGCGCTTCCCGCGTGGCTAATCACTCCGCCTAGACGAAGTCTCACCACTGAGTATGGAAAGGGAAGGTCATTGCACTTGTTAATGGACTGGAAGTCAGTAAACCACGACTCAAGCTGCTCCCGGCTAACGAGGTTGTCACCTCTTGCGAGGATTTCGACCTCGTCGAATTTGAACGTGTGGCCAGATCTCGTCGAATGAGCCGCAATTTGAGAGCTGGCGTCATTTCTCCCCACCGCTGCAGCGTGTTCGGCCATTCACGTTTGGAGCTGCCTTCCGGTTTCACCGACGTAGTTGTTTTGTTTCAACGGCACTAGATCCGATAAACGACTCCAGACGTTTCTTGCCGTGGCAGTGGGTCTTTCGGCTTTATTACCTGACGCCTGATTGTTGCCTCCAGTCTGAGTGCAACTCCAACCCTACGTGGTGCGAGAAGGCGGCCGACAGCTTCCGAAACGTTCTTGACAGGAAGTGTTCGCTAAAATTTGGGGGCCGTTCGGTTAGGCCTTTCGTCCCTTTTGCGTATGCACCGGTTGACGAAGCTACGTGGGTAGCCATTGGCTTTGAAGACCCGTCGGAGATATTGTATTTCGGTAAGACGACTTTCCGTTTCATTGTATTTACTCTGTATAAACAGCTCGATTGTCTCGATCGCCAGGTCCTGGGGAATAGAAGCAAAATGGACGTAACAGAAAAAGATACTATGACCTCATTTGGATGGATGCTTACCCCTCTGAGTTACTCCAGGAACTGTGCTGACGAAGAGACCTTGGTATCGGACTCAGCGGTCAGGAACTTGGGACGCCAGAACAGTCCGTACGTTGGAGTACCTTTGAGCAGCACGATGGGTCGGAGAGGAGCACCGTCTTTGTACACCGTAGGGAGGCCACAGAATCGGGCCAAAGCCTCATCTTGGGGTCTTTCCATGTGTCTTTCGGTCGGTGTTATTGCACCTGAGTTCTCCAAGACCAAAAGGGTAGCATTAATTTCGCGTGTCAGCGCTTTTACAGGGTTCGTTGCACATGAGACATAGAACTGCCGGTCCGCCAGTAAACCTTTAGCTTTTTGAAGGTAGTCTGTCCTGTGCAGTACAACCGTGAAGCGTCCCTTGTCTGCTGACACGAAGACCAGGTCTTTGTCACCCTTGAGTTCTCTAAGCGCATCACATTTGACCTTGGAAAGCACTTCCCGCGGCCTGTGGACCATTAGGAGATGCTGCGTAACTCTGCCTCTGCGTAAACTAATTCACATGCAAATCACTCTCCTGCATCAATCGCGTGCGGGAAACAGCGGATTTCGTGGCTCTCGACGAGAGAACTGTCACAAAGTTGAAAAGCAAGGAGAAAATGAAACACCTATTTAAGCCTACGATCTGACCAGACAGAGTCTGGAGCAGTGCTTCCAGTCTGTTGACCCGGACGCCAGTCCTAGATTTACCCGGCGGGGGATTTCGGGATTACTGGCTGACGGCCCATATGGATAGGAAGTGTCGATTTCAACTTTGTGCCCATTTTTAACAGACTTATCTCGGTGTCCTTCCTGTATCTTTATTTAGTCGGAAATGAAGCTCGAACGGATACTTAGGGTATCAATGCGATATTTGATGTTTTTATCTGACGGAGACTTGAGGTGCTTGATTATTCCTGATTTCGGTGTCCGGGGCGATTAGTTTTAGATAGCACCGATTGGCTGCTGAGAGGCGCATAGCGGATAAGCGCCTGCCAATAAACGTACCAGGCCATTATTTCAAGTTCAAATCCATTTTTCAGCATAATATGTCTGTCTTTTAGTAATGGTCATGCACGAAAAGACACAAAACGCGTTTCATTTGGCTGGCAAATGTAGGTGACCTAATTATACTCCTTCCTTAAGTATAAAATATAACGAAGACGTGATTCTCTATTGATTGACTAAAAGGAAGCACACTTTTGTTTGTGGTTTCTATAAAATATATTTGAATTTCCAAGACCATCAAAAATCAATGGGAAAAATGCATGTTACTTAAGTAGTCATTTTTTACCGACCACGCTTTCTACAGGAGATCGAAAAGAAGTGCATTTAAAAGCCGACATCCTGCCGATTCCAAAATGTTATAAGAGTATGCTTTAAGATAATCAGTATTACAACCGCGACCAAGTAATGCGTCCTAATTGAAAACACATTTCAGAATTTCAGCCAACATTTCATGAGATCGGTCACGCACTGTACTAGGATTTTTGCTAGAGTTGGAAGGGTTAGGTTTGAGGTTCGGACATGGGTCAGGGTTGGCGTAAGAACATGGAAGGAGGACACTCTCGGGAATTTATTGCGAGGCCACCTGTAGTATGGGCGGCCCACATTCCTGTGTCCGGCTCTCACGACTTAGCATGCCCCATCAACGAACGAACGGAAGGAGCGAGGAGGCAGACCCTATATCGTTGTTTTCACTACTGTTATCGAGGACCGCAATATACCCTGCAAAGAATTTTCCCAAAACAATTAAGTCTGAGGTGGAATGGGACAGAAATTGGACGATTCCGGATAACTGTGTGTCTCTCCGGAACTAGGGTCTTCACGCCATATCAGCACTTGAACGAGGGGCTTCTGACTCGATCCACCCAAATAGCGCAAACGACGTAGGACACTTTGCCTAATTACAGGGCGTCTACCCGTCCGATT